CGGAGCGCTCGGGGGAGGGCCGGGGGCGGGGCGGCCGCGGGAGGCCCCTGCCGGCCTCTGACTGGGGTGTCATTGCAGGGCCGCCCCCATGTTGCGTTTTCCGACCTGTTTTCCGTCCTTCCGGGTGGTGGGAGAGAAGCAGCTGCCGCAGGAGATCATTTTCCTGGTCTGGTCACCCAAGCGGGATCTCATCGCTTTGGCCAACACGGCCGGCGAGGTGAGTGAGCCCGACCCGACAGCGAGCGCGTTGCAGCCTGGCCCAGCCTCAGTTTCCCCTTTTGTGGACTCGCTGGGCCGCATGTGGACCCCGCCCCCTTCCTTTCCAAGCAGCTGTAAACCTTAGGTGGAAGTAGAAGGGAGCATATACGGGGAGGATCATTTATGTGCCCATTTCCCGTATTTCATGGCGAAAACAACAGTTTTCACACAGCGTAGTCGCACAGCCCTGCTTTCCCCGAGTCTCTTTTAGTCATTTGTTAGATGGGCTTTTTAAGAGCCCATAATGTGTCAGTCATCAACTAGAAATAGTAGATCCACAGACCCAGCCCTGAATTTGCTTACGGTTTTGTAACAGGAGGAGGATGAGTTACTGTCATACCGGAGCTGCGAATGTGCATGCATGTAGCTGCCGCAGAGGATACGTTAAAAAATCCAGAATCCCTTGTCCAGGTTTCCTACCGTGGACCGGATCGCCACCTCCTATTAAAAATACCTTTACATTTAGGAAGGAAGTGATGCTTCCCTGCGGTCCTGACGGAGTGTACATGAGTGTTGTCACTTAGCGTTTCTAGTGCATATCACACTAGGCTTCGTCAGGTATACCCGCTGCTTCTACCTTTCTCCTGAGAGGCCTGGTTACCTGGCAGCCATTGTGTGAGGAAACCTTCAGCTCTCCATCTTTCCTCCTTTGGCCTTTGGGCAGGTTTCCTGAGAGTTACCTCGCCAGGTGAGAGTTGTGTTGTGTGCAGACCGGTGTGGCCACCAGGTGGTAAGGAATACTTAGCAGCCTGCAAAGCTGCCTCACTCTGTTGACTACTAATAGCTTCTCATCAGGCCTTGATGGCTCCTTTCTCAAGGCCCTCTGTGATGTCTTCTGGTCCCTCTCCTTTGCCACTGCGCCTTGGAACTCTTCATGCTCTAGAGAGGAGAGCCAGAGCAGCAGGCCAGAAGGGAGAGGATGGGGCATCGGTGCGACTAGATGTGTAGATGTGATAGTGGGCACTTGTTTCCATTTCCTCAGTGAAGAAGAGAGAGTGAGGATGGAGGAGAAAATATTGGAAGTTTGAGGGGAAAGGCGGGGTATGAAAAGCTGACAAGGCAGGCAGACTAGGGAAACTTAGTAAGATTGCTGGTCAGTGTTAAGAGCCACGGAGGTTAGTGGTCTTGCAGTTTGAGGGAATCTAGTGAGCACGGTTGTGTCTCTGCTGTTCTGTTCGACTGGGTGGGTGTAGGCATGGTTGGGTTTCACCAGGGTTGTTGTTTTGCAAATGTGACATAGCAAGAAAGATGCAAGGGAGTTAAAGTTACATGTCAGAGGGGCGATGGTAATGATGATCCTTGGATTAAGTATGGAAGCGGGGGCATGTGTGAGTGAGGGACAATGAGTAGGTGGGATCAGTGGGTTGTAGGACTTGGTGAGGTTGAAGAATTGAAGTTGAGTATTAGTAGGGATGAACTAGAAGGATAGAGACAGTGATGGAAGGTGGGAGGTTTGAGACATTATGGCAGCACTTGTAACTGTAGGGACAAGGTCAAGGGCATGACCCCAGGAGTGACTGAGGTGAGTAGAAGACGTGACCATTGGAAGAAAGGTAGTTGAGCACTGAAAAGCCAGGACATCGTAGCTCTTGAAATCACCAAAAATGGGGATGAATAGTGTTGGAAAGCATGAGTGAGTCAGACAGGAGTCCAGATCTTCCAGGAATGAGGGGGATGGCCTAGGGGTCTTTAGGGAACTGCAGTTAAGAGGGGTAGTAGGTAGTGTGGTGTGATTGCATATGATTCAGAGTTAGAGGATTTTAGAGAAGAAAAATCATCCAGAAATGGCATCTGGAATCAAGGAGGAAACCACCTTCATCTCCTGGCCCAGTAGAATGGGGAACATGGGATGCAGCATGGCTATTACCTGAGAATCCTGCTGGAAAGCGATGTCCTTGGGTGAGAAACACATTTCAGGGAAGAGAAGGAAGATACGGGCTTCTTTTTTTTTTTCCCCAGTAATTTTTTATTGTTATGTTAATCACCATACATTACATCATTAGTTTTAGATGGATATGGGCATCTTGATGATACCTGGTTGTGAATTTCAGAGGGCACAGAGGAAAGGTTTTGGAAATAAGGGATGGCAGAGACAGGCTTGGAGAAGAGCACTGTGTTTAGGGAATGAAGGATTCCCTGTGGGGGCCAATGTACCAGGAGTGAAGAGTGCTGTGAGCTAAAGTGGGAGAGGTGAAGCTGTGAGTGTGGGGACCTGAGAAGGTGTGGGAGGGTCTGCAGGGATGCATGCAGTTCCTTATTTTCAGTGGTTGTGTAGAGGATGGAGTAGGGACAGCCTTATTTCTGAGTCAGAAGGAGCTCTGGGGCACATCTTGACCCTAGGAATTTTCCCGTGTGGAAGTGGAAATTTAGAATGGCTAAGTGACTTGCCCAAGACTTATGGCCAGTAAGCAACACAGCTGAAATTCCATCCCAAGGTGTCTGATTCCAAGTTTGGTGTTATTTGACTATTACAGCTACTTTTCTGCTTTTTATGTTCCTTATTTCTTTTTCTGTCATGATCTTCTTGGACAACCTTATTTCTTTCTAAAAGATAAGTCTCTTATTGACATAGAAGATAGGAAAATGTATAGAGTACAGGGTTAAATTAGGTCTTGTTTCACCCATCGCTTTGAATATACCTTCAGTTCATTCAGACCTTGTTGTCTTCTAATTTCTTCTGATAGCTAAATATTATGCTTGAGATTATATTTAAAGATTTATAGTGAGGATCTAGGTTTATTTCAGTTTCGGAAATGGATTTTTAATTTTTTTTTTTTTTTTTTGGATTTTTAATTTTTTGCCATGTATCTGTTTTGTCTTAGGTTTTACTTCACCGACTTGCAAGTTTTCATCGAGTTTGGAGTTTTCCACCAAATGAAAATACAGGAAAGGAAGTGACCTGTCTGGCTTGGAGACCAGATGGCAAACGTAATGATAGGATTCTTTGAAAATACATTATTATTATTATTATTATTATTAACAAAAAAAGTATTTTGTAAAGAAAGCTTATTTCCTGAAAGAATTTATTGTTCTTATTATATTCTTATTGTATACTAAATATCAGCTTCGGAGCTTTGCTTTTTGGAAGCTTTGAAGTGTTTTCATAGAGTTGAGATTAATTTTACTGTGTTGTTTCTTGGCTGAGATCTCTCTAAAATGAAATTTGACTTCTTGGCAAAGGTAACGCTAGAATAAAATCTGTGGAATGTACAAAATACTTAGGCTTTGCTCTTGGCGCTGTCTTGTCCTGCACTGATGGCCCACGTTCCATCTACCATTCACTAGTCTGTCGAGTACCACTGTGGTCTTTTCTCCCCAAAATGTATGTTAACATTAAATGTGTAGCTCATAAATATTCTCTTGGCACGAATGCTTGTCTCACCTGAAGGACTATCAGCTCTGACCCCATTCCTTCCTCTTTCTCCGCGTGCCCTTTATTTTGTAGCTTCTTACGCTTCCACCTGTTGTTTTTGCAATGACAGTCGTGATTTGAGCTGCTGTACACAGAGTCAATACAGTAAAATGCTATAAATGATACAGCTTAAAGTTCATCTGTTATCATTGGTGCTTTAAGGAAAAAAAACTGAATCATTTTTGTAAAATGATATGTATTCCTTATTGCTTAATTTTTTCCTGGTAAATATAAATGAGTCTGTAAAAACACCCGGAAAGCCTGTTCAGCTCTCGTTTTATCTTTTAACAAAAAAACAAAAAAAGGGTATGTGTAAAATTAGAGGACTTTTATAAGTAACATCATGAGATCTTGCACTATTCATCCAAAAACACCAGAATCTCAAAAATAAATCATGAAAGTCTGTGTGTGTTGAAATGTATATAAGTAGATGAATTTTTTATCATTAAAAAAATATGCCCTGTGTTTTTGGACAGTGAAATAAGGTTTTTTAGGTAAGGATTATTTCAAGATTGCTTTAAATTGTTTGAAGAAGAAGAGATGTGGGTTGCCTCACATCTTGCAAAATTGTGTGTCTTGGTATACCGTGAAATGCATAGCCCTCTACTTAGAAATTCTTTTTTTTTTTTTTAAGATTTTATTTATTTATATGAGAGAGAGCACATGAGAGGGGGGAAGGTCAGAGGGAGAAGCAGGCTCCCCGCGGAGCAGGGAGCCCGATGCGGGACTCGATCCAGGGACTCCAGGATCATGACCTGAGCCGAAGGCAGTCGCTTAACCAACTGAGCCACCCAGGCGCCCAGAAATTCTTTATTTGATGTGTTAGGAAGATGTTAGTGACCTGTGTGGAGAGACTATACTAGATAATTCAGCCACAGTGAAAGAAACAAGACTCATCAGCATTTGATGGTCTCGTTTCCCATTAAGGGTTAGGAACAAAAGGGAATACTGAACTTTCTAAGAACTAAGCAGATGGAATCACTTCTCACCATTTAGGCACGTTCACAAGACCAGCATATCTTGGTGATAGGATATTATTGTTTGTCTGTTGAGACCTGTTCTGTATCTTCTGCTTGGAAGCAGGGCTCCAGTCCAGAGGCTTTGATGTGTAAGATGTGTAAGACATTAAGTGCAGTACACGAGAAAGTAGTCGGTCACTCATGAGAGTTTGAGCCTTTGAAAATAAGCTTAGATGACAGCATAACTACATGTAAAGATAGCTTTCCATTTTAAAAAATATTATTTAAAGGAAGGATTTTTAGGTTAAATAATTTCTATGATGATGATACATTTAAAATAGTAAAACTGGGCAAGAAGTGAAATAGCCATTTCGTTTTCTTGACTGTTACAGTAAGTCGTCCTCATCGTCTCTTCTTGTTTCAGTTTTGGCCTTTGCTCTTGCGGACACCAAGAAAATCGTTTTGTGCGATGTAGAGAAACCTGAAAGCTTGCACTCCTTCTCTGTGGAGGCCCCAGTGTCTTGTATGCATTGGATGGAAGTGACTGCAGAAAGCAGGTAGAGGAAGGATTGGAAGGACGACTCCAGCAGCTGCCGTGGGACAGCTGTGCGCCTGCCGGGGTTAAAACGGACACTTGGGAGGATCTGAGTGTTGAGCATGGGCACGCTGCATTTAACTTTGGGTTTTCAGTTTATATGCCTGAAGGGCTAAGATTTTTCTTTGCTTTTTATTTTTAGTAGTTAATATCAGTGCTTTATACTTTCTTTTTTTTTTTTTGAAGATTTTATTTATTTATTTGAGAGAGAGAACATGAGAGGGGGGACGGTCAGAGGGAGAAGCAGACTCCCCAGCTGAGCAGGGAGCCCGATGTGGGACTCGATCCCGGGACTCCAGGATCATGACCTGAGCGGAAGGCAGTCGGTTAACCAACTGAGCCACCCAGGCGCCCCAGTGCTTTATACTTTCTTATTTCTTTCTTTCTTTTTTTTAACTTAAATTTTAGGTAGTTAACAGTGCAATATTGGTTTCTGGAGTAGAATTCAGTGATTCATCACTTACATACAACACCCAGTGCTCATCACAAGTGGCCTCCTTCATGTCTATCACCCATTAACCCATCCCCCACCCACCTCCCTCCATCAGCCCTCAGTTTGTTCTCTGTCATTGAGTCTTTCATGGCTTGTTTCCCTCTCTCCTTTTTTTCTTCCCCCCCCTTCCCGTGTGTTCATGTTTTCTTCCTTAATTCCACGTATGAGTGAAATTCTATGGGTAGTGATTTGTACTTTCAAGTAATAGAAATTAAAATTACTGATTAGCAAATTGAGGTTCTTTGTTCCTTTTTGCCACCCATTTCTTTCGGAGCTTGGGCGTTTTTTTTTTGCATCTTCGTAAGTATCCTCAGAGTACAAAAAGTGCTAAGTTGAGCATTCTGGGGTGTTTTGTTTTGTTTTGTTTGTTCAAAGATTTTATTTGAGAAAGAGAGAGAGGGAGCATGAGCAGAGGGAGGGGCTGAGGGAGATGGAGAAGCAGACTCCCCGCTGAGCAGGGAGCCCAATGTGGGGCTCCATCCCAGGACCCTGGGATCATGACCTGAGCTGAAAGCAGATGCTTAACTGACTGAGTCACCCAGGTGCTCCTCAGTGCTTTGTTTTGATGTTGAATGAGTTCTTTCTGTGTCTGTGGTCTTGATAGTTTCCTGGTCTCATGAAAATAACTTTGCCTTAGTCTACATTCAAGTCATATACCAGGTTTGCAGTCAAGATGGCCTAAAGAATAAATGGGTTTACCTAATACTGAAAATAAAAGTTTTTTGTTTTTTTTTAGGAAATGTGATAATTTTCTTACCCATAGTCTTTCCTTTCTTTCTTTCCTTTTTTTTAAAATATTTTATTTATTTATTTGACAGAGACACACAGCGAGACAGGGAACACAAGCAAGGGGAGTGGGAGAGGGAGAAGCAGGCTTCCCACTGAGCAGGAAGCCCGATGCAGGGCTTGATCCCAGGATCCTGGGATCATGACCTGAGCTGAAGGCAGACGCTTAACGACTGAGCCACCTGGGCGCCCCAGTTTTTCCTTTCTAATAAACTTTTAACTTAATTTCAAATTAACTAAAGGGGGAGTCTATAAAAAATTGAATAATAAGGATCTCACCTGGTGTTTGAAATTCACTATAGATAAAACATTTATCTATAATTAATGCATCATCAAATAATCCAGGGTTGCAAATGGTCATGTGAATTTTTCAATGCTTAGAGGAGCAGAGTATACCATGTCATTTCTGTCCCATTCAAGGTACCTGCTAAGTGTATCCTAACATACTTTCTACTAATAGTTTAGAAATATAATGTGGAGATTCCAGGATCTCTCAGGACACCACGTTTGTGTTAAAGTGGGAAAAAAACGTGTGCCAAGTCACCTTTTCACTCATTTATTACCACCCTTATTTGGAGGTAAAATTGAGAAAAGGGAATAAGCAAGACTATTTCAAAATGCGTAGTGTCGTCTTAGATACTTGCTGGATTGTCAAATCCCCAAATGTATATAAGCCGTAGAACCCACAGTTAAATGAGATAATTACTGCAGTGTTCTTTAAAACCCACATTCACCCTTGATACTCATATGTGTTTAGATGATTCTTAGATGAGAGTTAAAAAAATCATAAATTCTTGGGATGCCTGTGTGGCTCTGTCAGTTAAGCATCTGCCTTCAGCTCAGGTCATGATGCTGGGGTCCAGGGATCAAGCCCCATGTCAGGCTTCTTGCTCAGCGAGGAGTCTGTTTTTCCCTTTTCCTCTGCCCCTCCTCCTGCTCATGCTCTCTCTCTTTCTCTTGCTTGCTCTCTCTCAAATAAAATCTTTAAAAAAAAAAAAAACCTAAATTCTTAGTATCTAATACTGAATACATAGAGAAAATTATTTATTAATATTTATTCCTCTAAGTGTAAAGTGGCTGGGTTCCCCCCCCCCAGAAACAAGGCCCCTTGTAAATGAAGAATTTCCTATTTTTTTGTTTGTTGTTTGTGATTATTACAATGACTGTTTTATAATAGTAAAGTATGTGTGGCATCTGTTTACTTGGTAATGTATGTAATATGTAAAACTGGGCAGTTTTTAAAAAAAGTACTTTTTAATGGCAAAACAAGTAAAATCTTTGGTGTTTTAGTAATGCTTCTTCTTGGCTTTTCTTTTCAGTGTTCTAACATCCTTTTATAATGCTGAGGATGAATCAAATCTTCTCTTACCTAAACTACCTACCCTGCCGAAAAAGTAAGTATCAGAGTTTAATTTCACTGGAATCCATCTTGCAGATTTCTATTTCCTTTGACACTGTGATCATTTTCTCATGCGTTTTTAAAAACATATTTCTATTGCTTTTTACACTAGTCTTTGTTTTTCTCTAGTTACAGCAACACCTCAAAAATTTTTAGGTAAGATATGCCTTTTTTGTTCTCAGGTAAAATAATCTTTTATTAGTTGAAAGATGTAGTTGAAAGGTAACCCAATTATTTTTATATTTTAGTGAAGAAAATTCTGATGAAATTATTAAGCTTTTGGGAGACGTCAGGTAAAGTTTGCAAATATCTTAAATAACAAGTCTAATTTCTTAAAGTTGGTGTTTGATATTTGAGACAAGAGTTCAGAGTTTCAAGGGCAGTTCCTTTATGTGTCATGTTATTTCCCTGCTGACAAACACCACTGAACAATATACAGACATTAGTGTCTATTATTTACTTGTTTTTATTGTATGGTCTTTGATTGTGTCAAGTTCAATAATACTATAATGTACCTTTGTTTATTTTAAAAGTAAAGGAGGATAGATGTTACTAGCGTTTCTAAAATTAAAATTAAATATTTCAAGTTTTTAAAGCCCTTTTAATACATTTAGCATCAGAGCCGTGAAACAACTAACGGCACTTTCTATTAGGTGGAAAAAGGATTGTGTTGTTATTGAGAGTATATAAGTACAGTAGTTGTTAAAATACTATAGCCTTATTTTACTATAAACCGATGTTTTTCAGGCTAGAGCAAATTTATGTTCCTTTGAGAAAAGGAAGAAGCTCAGTGTGATTGAATATTGAGTATTGGTGAATTTGTTTGGGGTTTCAGTTTCCCCACAGGGAAGCCTTAGCATGCAGATTATCTGAGAGCAAGAACAACTTATATCTTGGTTTAAGAACTCAGTCTTCTCTGAGGTCCTCAGCTTGTTACATTCCTTTTAATTAGGCTTAATATTCTTGTCCTCGGAGGAAGCTCTGGATTTATCGAGCTTTATGCGTATGGAATGTTCAAAATTGCTCGAGTCACGGGGGTAAGTTTTCCTTTAAAATTTTCCACGTCATTTCTCTTAGAATATACCACCTAAAATATACCAGCTAACTGATTTATGGAAAAAAAAATTAAAACACCAGGGTATTTTTCTCAGTTTCAATTATTGGAGTTACTCATTTTTAAATGTTAAGAGGATAATTTTATTACTAAGATAAAATAGTGGTGATAGGGTATCTATGAAGATCAGGTACTATTAGTGGAATTAATCAAGTTTTTCTTAAGAAAAAGATTGACATGATACACTTGATTACGATTCAATGGTTTTCTAGTCTGTAGTCAGGGCTAGAGCTACAGTTTGTGACTGGAACGTGACGAACATCATGAGGAGTGATCTTCTACTTAGGACCAGATCTGTGCTGGTTGCTAAGTCTCGGTCTTCTCCACAGCTTTTCTGTCCTATTCTTGCCATTTCTGAGGGGAAGAGGATATATTGTAGGCTCTCCAGCACTTGATTTGGGACCCCTGATGGAGGGGTGTGTGTCCAGGAGGGGTGTGGACTGGGGGGACACACGCCTTCCCTCCTGCACATGCGTGGAAGGCGTCAGGCGTGTGTGTTTCTGCTTTAGAGAGTTCCATGAGTTTCTGTTGCCTGTATTATAAGCAGGTGCAGACTAGCAATAATACTAAATGGACCAGGGGATTTGACTCTTTTACAGATCGTTGGTACTTGTCTTGCATTGTGTTTATCCAGTGATTTGAAATCATTGTCAGTGGTCACAGAGGTTTCTGCTGGCAGTGCTTCGGAGGTCTCATACTTCCAGGTAAGTGTGGAAACCTGGTAGCAGCAGACAGTAAATTCATTTTTTAAAGGTGTTATTAAAACAAAGCAAGGGAAAAAAAAACTCAACTTGGAGCTTCTAAATCTCATATATAGAATCTTACTCTAGTGAACACTTTATTATTCCCAGGGCCCAGTATAGTTTTCATAAAAACAGTGTTTTGATAGTTTATTAATGACCATGTTAATTGGTTGCTATACCAGTTTATCTTTGTACCAAGTATTCTTTTTTTTAAGATTTACTTATGTATTTGAGAGAGATAGTGTGAGCAAGGGGAGGGGGAGAGGGAGATGGAGTGAGAATCCCAAGCAGATTCTGTGCTGAGCGCAGAGCCTGTCATGGGGCTCCCATCTCACCACCCATGAAATCATGAGGGGTTGGACGCTTAACTAAGCCACCCAGGCACCCCTCTATCAGGTGTGTTCTTAGGACTCTGATCCTAAAAATAATAAAAGCTAATACTTATCATTTGTTTAATATGTACCAAGTACTGAGTGATTCAATATAATTCATTTGAATCCTCACAGCAACCTAATAGGTAGGTCCTATTATTATCCCTATTTTATAGATAAGTAGAAACTGCAGAACTTGCTCGGTATCACTCATATGGAAGTGATGCTGGGCAGGGTGGCTCCAGAGTCAGTGCTCTTCACCAACACATTGCCTCTTGTGTAAGGTGATCAATTAATGTTGGGAAAAACTGGGGCGCCTGGGTGGCTCAGTCGTTAAGCATCTGCCTTCGGCTCAGGTCACGATCCCAGGGTCCTGGGATCGAGCCCCGCATCGGGCTCCCTGCTCAGTGGGAGGCTTGCTTCTCCCTCTCCCTCTGCCTGCCTGCCTGTCTGCCTACTTGTGATTTCCCTCTCTCTGTCAAATAAGTAAATAAAATCTTAAAAAAAAAAAAAAAGTTGGAAAACACCTTTTGTACTATATGCTGTTTATATTGTAAGTTGTGGAAACTGTGTGGGCTCCTATAGAGTATTTAGATTGTAGCCTTGCCTTTAGGAAAGTCTTCCCTAGATTTTTTTTTTTTTAAGATTTTATTTTTAAGTAATCTCTACACCCAACATAGGGCTCAAACTCACAACCCCAAGATCAAGAGTTGCACTCCACCAGCTGAGCCAGCTAGGCGCCCCTTCCCTAGATTTTCATGCCAAATAACCCAGCCACTTAGCTTAAGGATGCGCGAATTCTTAAACAAAAGTAGAACAAAAAGATGCAGGATGCACTGTGTCTGATGCTTTCCAGTATTCATTGTTGTATTCAGAGCATCAGGGGACTCTGATGTCCTGATTCCCCAGAATAGTTGGTCATATTTACTCTTCATCTTAAGATTCCGTGAAAATATGATTTCTAGGATTGCATTTGATGCTGTAATAAAATGATTCACTATTTCTTTGAAGTTTGTAATGGATATTTTTTTAAATAACAGCTTTATTAAGATAATTCTTACACCATTGTAATGGATATTTAGCTTGTCTTTATCAGTAGCTTATAGTTCTTTAAAAACTTTTTATGTATATTTGTAATCATTTCTTAAATTTCTCATAATAGTGTTACAAAATAGATTATTCTATTTATCTAGCTATGGAGATGGCATTGCTAACCTAGAGAGGGGTGACCTGTGCACACTTAAACATGGCAGATTAGAAAATCCTAAAGTTCTGTTCTTTTAGTCTCCAAAGTATTAGGCTCAAAGGTAGCAGAATTCAGACATAGTCTTTCCGATACATACTTAGACCTTGACTCTTCTAAATTGTAGGATTTTTTTTTTTTTAGCTGGGACTGATTTATCTTTAAAAGAAGTGTGTGTGATTGTAACTCACTTTATTTTGATTTTATAGCTTGAAACCAATCTATTGTACTCTTTCTTACCTGAAGTAACTCGGATGGCTAGAAAGTTTACTCACATTTCAGCCCTTTTACAGGTATTTATTTGTAACTTGTTTTATGTGAATATTTACTCTTAAGTTTCTAACAGTCTATAAATAAAACACTTGCAAATTTTATTCTGTAAAGCTAACTGTGGTATAAAGTGTCTATTCTGATAATCTTATAATGTCCGTTAACAAGAAAAAGAAATTTAATTGAAAATCTATTCCCACCAGAAAAGAAAAAAGTAGTTTAAATCTTTTAAAAATAATCCCCTAAGTGAAATAACATTTTGGAATTTGAAAAGGCTTACTACAAATCAAGCCTTATGGGAAACAGCCATCATATCAGTTCACTCTTGTACATAAACACCCACCCCAAATTAGCCATGGTTCTGTAGGTCAGTGTCTTAGTCAGTCCACAGTTTGGGCTGGGCCAGCTAGAAGGTTCTGCTGATCCGGGCCAGCTTCAGCTCATCGCAGCCTGGCCCGGTCGTGTGTCAGTGGCCAGCTGGCTGGTCTGAGTGTCTCTTAGCCGTGGTGGCTCCCCATGTGCCATCTCCCAGCAGGCTAGCGCGGGCTCGTTCCTGAAGTGGCGGCCACAGCAGTGGTGTCAGGAGTGCAAGGGGGAACGTGCAGAGCCTTTGGAGGCCTTGGACTCGGTGTCCCTTCTGCTGTGTGTCGGTCACGGCAAGACTCAAGGCCAGCCCAGATTCAGGGACTAGGGAGATGGAGTCTGCTTCTGGATAGAGGAGCTACAAAGAACTGTGGCTGTTCTTTTTCAGTCTGCCACAGTCCCTGACTTACTTGATGTCAAAGATTTCTGCACATCGGTGTCTTTTTAAGGATTCTGTTTGAAAATTGAATAGCTGACTCAACCAGCATTTTGACAGTTCGTGTACATGAAACATACATATAAAAAGCTGGAGGATGTCTGTTTTACCAGATAAAAACTTAATTTCCGAATGTTTGATGGTTAAGTGGTTATCAAGCATTAGCTGTGGTCTTCTCTTTCACAGGGTGAGTTAAAAATGATTGAAAGAAAATTCTGGATTTCTTTGAGATAGTTGGCAGGAAGAAGCATATATTACTTAGCAAATTGATTTATGTAGTTTCTTTTCCTTTTTTTTTTTTTTTACTATTCTGATAGCTATTTTTTTTCCCTTCTTGTTAATAGTATATAAATTTGTCACTAACGTGTATGTGTGAAGCCTGGGAAGAAATACTGATGCAGATGGATTCTCGTCTCACCAAGTTCGTACAGGTAATGTTTGTGAGGTTTCCCCTGGAAGGAGTGGAAACGGGCACGCTGTCCTCATTGACTTTCCGAGCTACCTGATGGATACTGGTTGGGTTTGTAAAAGATGAAGGTCAAGGTTTCAGATGGCTTGGTCTGATCGCACACTGTTTCCCCAGAGAGGAAGGGCTCTCCTTGCATCAGGACAACCTAGGTGGGTCTGTGAAGTGGAGCAGGTGGGGCGTGGAGAGTCAGGACGGGTGTTGGAAGAGCTGACTGTCTACTCTCCATGAACCGATAGTCAGATAATCAATTTAAATAAGGATTTGAAGGAAGCTGAAGGAAAAGGAAGGGAGTCATGCTCCTATAGTTTTAATTTTGAATTATACATGGTTATAATTTTAAAAATATATATCATGATGTTATCCATTTTGTCTAGGAGAAGAGCACAACCACTTCTGTGCAAGATGAATTCATGCACTTGCTGTTATGGGGGAAAGCAAGGTAATAAACTCATATTAGGTGCTCTTGCTTTTTCTTCTTTTTTACAGTAGTTTTTTATTTTGAAAGGAATTCATATTCATTGTAAAAAAAAATAGAAAATTCTGGTACATAATAAAAAATAGTATTTATTTTTCTAGATTTTCTATGCATTTTTTGTAAATGTAATCATTTTCTATGTCTATAATACATATATGTATTTCTAAATGTGTAAAAAAATTTCTAGTTTTGGGGTGCCTGGGTGGCTCAGTCGTTAAGCGTCTGCCTTCGGCTCAGGTCATGATCCCAGGGTCCTGGGATCGAGCCCCGCATCCGGCTCCCTGCTCCGCGGGAGGCCTGCTTCTCCCTCTCCC